GCGTATAATCTACAATGGGTTATACAGCAGTTCCCTGTGAATATTCCAATGTAGTATCAGTGATCAAAATTTATACCAAGATTCCCAAGCCACTGCCCAAAACTGTAGTCATCCTCACAGCCCAAGAGCATTGATGTCCAGCACTCCACATGCCTTTTGGTCATACGTGTGTGACCAATGGGACCCATTGCAATTTGGAAGATGGCCGGCTTAGTAACGGCCAATCATGATGGACCTTTTTGAAGTCGTTTGCAGATGCGAATGATTCAAGACATAAGGAGCGGTGTGGATTGGAATTTGAATGCCACTCTTGGTGCTGGAGGAGAGCTAAAATTGTTAACTGTGGTGTATTTGTATTGTCAGTGATGTGCTGAATGATTTATGAACTCCCAGAATTTCATTTTACCGTTGTTCAGTCGTGATTGCAAACAAGCATTTTCTCCTACACACTGCTGGATCGCTTCACATGTCTTTTTAAGTGGCACCCATCACTGCAGATTGATATTTTGTACTTAGGCCCTAACGTGATTGATTGACATCCGTAAATGCAGAGGACATGCAGATAAAATATTGTTTGCAAATGAGATCTCTCCAGGATACCTAACTCAGTTTTCGAATAAACTGAGCCTTTTGGAGTATTGAATCGAATCACTGGTGTTGCTGTCGACAGCGTCTGCAGTTTAACAATGAATTTTGAACATCAGTTGTGAAACTTGTTAAATGTGAGCTTTTACTCCGTAGTATCTTGCTTGACTCCTCATATAGTATTGCTTCGTGGGTCAGTTGCATGGCGAGTGGCTGATTGTGGCCATTAACACACCGATCAGTGCATCTGGTGAGGCTTAGGGCAGACCCTGCAAGGCTGGTAAGGAGAGAAGCACACCCTTGACTTCATGATACTTGCCGTAACATTGTAAGCAATGCGAGCTTGCCCCAATGCCAGCTTTGGCTCAGTTGGTAGCACTCTTGCCTCTGAGCCAGAAGGTTGTGGGTTCAAGCCTCATGTTGGAATTTTGCACCCAAATGGCTCAGCTGACACTCCAATGCAGTGCTGGAGCTGCCGTGCTTCGGATGAGATGTTAACCCGAGGTCCCATCCGATTTTTCATGTTAAGATGTTAAGGATCCCATGACAACAACAACTTGCATGTATATAGCGCCCTTCACAAGAGGGTGGTGTTTCCGAGTGCTTATACGACACTATTCAAAAAAGAGAAAGGAGTTTCTCTCTGTGTTCTGACCAACAATCGCTCAAGTAAAATTGATCATGTTTTTCATGACTGATGTGGGGACGTTACTGCATGCAAATTCGCTGCCTCTTTCTTCTAAAAAGAATCATTACACTTCGCAGTAAATCCTTTGAAGCGCTGGAGACGTCCTCCCAGTGTGAAAGATGCTATATCAAATGTAAGGATTATTGTAGTTTAGCACTGAAATGTGTGGTGGACTGAGTCAGATGGTGAGTTTCATTCAGCAGAGTTCTCGGTGAATCACAATCCTTCTTTATGACCTAACGGCATAACCTAGGGATTTCTAGCCATTATTTACAGTGTTTAGAAAGTTATTATTGAAAGTCCCAGCTCTCGGTTTCATTAATGATTTGCTCATTATTGTTAAAGATGCAAAGTGTTTGTCTCTCTGGTGTGGGAGTAGAATATAATACTTCAGCTGTTAGTGAGAAACTATATACTATCGTGGAACCCCGTCACTGGCTGATGGTGACAGACTTCAGGAAATACGTCCCCTGATAATTAGCCAGAAAAAATGCAGGTGACAAAGAGTCAAGGAATGGTTGTCATATTAGTTGAACACAATGCCTTTTTATCTCTAAGACTCAGGTCTGATCCTGTCTGTTTGCTATAAAATTTCTATGTGAAACGAATCTCATTTTCGTTGCACAAAGCTGCCTCGCGCAAACGCCTTTCCAAGCCGCACCTCTGGACCCTGACGCATTCAGCTTTCTCTCACCTCTGCAGCTGTGTCACTAACGCTCTCTTTGTCCGATTTTCTCCCTGTTTCTAAACCCTCCCTGTGACAAATTGTTAAAAGCTTAAGACGGTGCTCGTCACCTGCCGTGTCGGCTGGCTCGGGCCTTCTGCACGTCCCCTGACTCTCTTCCTGCCTCTGCTTCACCATCGCAGGCCGTGCCTTCAGTCACAACCCCCTGACCTTCTGTCACTCACACCTTCCACCCCTCAGGATGAGAGCTGCTGTGGATAGTTGCCATGAGAATATGCAGCATGCTACTGTACCTGAAGCCTGAATTATGGTCTCAACATCAGTGAGACAATGAACAGGAGCCTTTAGCCATATAATAATAATAATGATAATAATAATTTAGCCATATCATGGAAGCATAGAAATTTGCAACACAGAAGGAGGCTCTCCAGCCCATCCATTCTGCACCGGCTCTCAAAGCCAACTGTGTTTTTAAATCACTTCCTCGCCTTATCACAATGCCTCTTCTCGCCTCTACCTTTCATATACCTGTCTACTCCCCTCTTGAAGCTCACACGGCACTCTGCCTCTACCACCTTACTTGGTCGGACATTCCACATCCCAACAACTCGAGTAAAACAATTTGTAGCTCATCTTATCTTGATTTCTGAAAGGACAATCTTTTCGTTACATCTTTAGAATGGAATGAAGGCTTTGTGGAAAGAGTGACCCCTGTTGTTGCTTCTCTTTTCCAACGGTGCCACTGGATCTTTAATGTCCACCTGAACAGATAAGACGGTACCTTGGTATAATGTATCACGAAAGGGCAGAGTCTTGAACATGTGCGCAATTGGCCGCCGCGTTTCGCCCACAAAATATACATTCAATTCACTTTACAGTATATTCTGTGAAGCGCTTTGAAACGTCTCAAAGATGTAATAAGGCGCTATATCAAATGTAAGGATTATTATAATCCTGAGCTCTGAGTGGCAACAAACACTAAACTTGAGGTCCTCATTCGCTACCCGATTCAGCACTCCTAAGACCCCAAATCTGCATGAAGAATGCTATATAAATGCGAGTCGTCATTGTTGTTTATGGGGTGAGCTGTGAGCAAGGTTACGGAAGTTAGCAGTTCACTGCCGTTGACTTACTTTCCTGTGTTTTTTATTCCATTTAGATTTTGTCGACCTGTTTCGAACCATAGGATTTTAGCAATACTTCCCAACAGAAAAAGTGCACTGGTTCTTCTCCCGCAGAGAGCTGGGCGTGACAGTTTTTTGGGATTCAAATGATTGTGTAGTTAAAGATTCACTGTAACAGTCAATGGCAATGATGCCCTGAGTTGGGCAATTGGGAAAACAATGGCTAACATCAGTTCTGCTGCTGTATCTGCTCTCATCTCTTCACCGTGTCTTGTCTTGACCGCTTCGCACAATTTATCACGGCTTGACTGAAGTAGACTTGGGCTTTCTGTGTATTAGTGTGAAATGTCAACTGGAATAAATGAGGCACCAGAGGACTAGACATCAAAACGAATATGTCTGTCTTTTGATCCTACAAGGCAATAAATCTCGTAGCAACGATTGAAACCGAGTTTGACACTGAACTTTCCGTAGAAGGGTAGTGTTATTGCAAAGGTAAAGCACCTGACACCAGTTGCAGGTTCAAAGCCTGGTCTGTGCTGTGTCTCAGCCGGAACATAAATTGGAGTCCTGCAATTGGTCTCAGTGCCCCTCTGTTATAGAGGAAAATTAGCCGGGATTCCTGCTCTTGACTGCTGTCCTCAGATACTCTACTGGAAGAAAAGTGTGTGTGTTTGTGTGTATGTGGACATCCAGTGAGAACAGGATTACATTAGCTGTGATGCCCCAAGCAACGTGGAAATGCTTGACGACACACACTGCCACTCACTACCAAGGCTAATTTATAAATGACTTGGGGAGGTAGCGGAGAGCGGAACGATATCCCAGAAAAAAGGATGGGAAGAATTCAAGTGCTTCTTTCAGGAGGGGAAGGGAAAAATAGGCAAAGGGGAAAAACATAGATCTTCATTCACATTGCTGCGACAAGCAAGAAATCCAAATGAGGATGTCAAGGCCAATTTACAATGTAATCTCAATATGATAGCTTTGAACTTTATTTCCAGGTGAATATTTCAATAGGAATGGGGAAGAGGAAGGAAGAACAATCAAGTCCAACTTCCTTGCTGTCCAATGTCTATATACGTTCACGATTCCAGCAGGTATCACTGGAGGAAGAGAAAAAAGCCCAGGAACCCGGCACGCCTTTGTATTTCTCCATCCTCTTCCCCATAGCCCAATGACACCCAGTAACGCTAGGTTGGGCTTTCAGTGTATCTGCCCACCCCCACCCCCCCCACTCTGGTACTCCATCCTGGGATCCCTAGAATTTGCCCCTTCCCTACCACCACACCTCGGCTCCCACCTGCAGCTCGGGTGTAAACCCTGGACTGAGCCATGCGTCGTTCACCAAACGGGAAAGGTGCTGCGTAAATGTAAATTTATTCTTGTAACATTTCCTTCCCATAGTCAGAAAAAAAAAGGTCATGGATTTGATTCTTATTCCAGTTAATTACCCGGCTCACGTGAGCTTCACCGTTTATAATAATAACAATATTTTTATAATATAACATAGTATACCATTCACATTGCGAGGATGTCTCAATGTGTATCACAGGATCCACTGTAAACAACAACAACAACAACAAAGCGACATTTGTATCGCGCCTTTCACGTCAGGAGGACGTCCCAGAGCGCTGGACAGACAGAGTTTCGGACCCGAGCTGGGGGTTGAGGTCGGGGAGTGTGGAAGGCCGGGGAGCTGGTGGGGGGCGGGGGGAAGCAGGGCGATCGTAAAGTGTTGTGACTGTAGTTTTGTAGGAATATGTGTGATAAGGTGCAGTGTAAGTGCAGGTTCCTTTTTTTCCTCATTCAACTTGTAACGTACATTCTGAAATGTGACGATTATCGCGTGAAATGTGTGGATAATCGCGTTGGCCGCTTTTTGTTGACTCCCGGCTTCCTCTGTTTTCGTCTGCAGAGGACGACCTCTTCGGGGAGCTTCCCGAAATCTTCCCCTCCGACCCTCCCGAGCCCCTGCCATATTTCCTGAATGAGCCTGAAGACGCCTACATTGTGAAGAACAAGCCAGTGAACCTCTACTGCAGAGCTTCCCCTGCTACCCAGATCTACTTCAAGTGTAACAGCGAATGGGTTCATCAGAAGGAGCACGTGACAGAAGAGCATATCGATGAAAACACTGGTGAGTGTCGAATAATACCCTGGTCCTTTTATCATCGTTAATGCTTCTACTCTGTTCAACAGGCTGTCCGGTGGTGTGGTGCCACCGTTAGACCTGCACTAATGGTGAAAGACTTCCGAGCGAAAGATGCTCCCTAGACTGGTGAAAAAGGGGGCAAATTAACAGGACGCTTCATTTTCATGAGGAGAAAGCAAACTACAAAACCTGTACCTGATAATAATTGGAGTGGGTCCGTGAGTTTGTGTCTCTGGAGATATGGGGGTGGAGGGAGCGGTTCAGGGTAATATTGGAGATGAGTCTGTGGTCATTTTTGTTGGGTGAGTCAGGTGTCTTGATACTTAAGGAAACCTGTCACTACATTGGTAATAATCAGGTTGAGGAGATAAAATGCAATCTTACAAAAATGCTATTATTGTAGGTGGAGATAGGGTTTAGCATTTTAAAGAGAAAATCGCTGACGAGCTTCCCTTCCCTTTTCGTTGTTTGGACACTCAAATTCTGCGTCCGTCCGTTGTCTTCTCTCATCATCAATGTCGCTGCACCTCAAGCTGTATCTTGTTGACTTTCTGCTTTCCAAATTAGAAATGTGTGAGAGTTTTCATCCATTGAAAGCCTAGATTTTGTTTCCTCTAACCACAGAGATCTCCAGACAGATCACTGACATGATGTGGTCAGAAATAATGCCAGACATGTTGGGTGTCATCTGCATTAGATAGATAGATCCTCACGGTCAGAAAGGAAAGTGTGAGATAGGCTGTGAGCGGAATGGGGTCGTCTGGGAGTGAATAGCATAGAATTTGTACAGAGAATCTTTAAATTTCATGTCCACCAAATAGACGGATTATTATTATTATTATTTATACCTCAATGCGGCCGTTTGCTTTGTTACACGTCTCAGTGAAAGGAAAAGAGTTCTGAAGGATCGGACCTTGACGAATATATCAGGTTTCATCAAAATCTAAAAGAGACTCTTATACACATTGCTCGATGGAGCAGCATTAGGATTAGCAAAACAAGGATGAATTCTTACAGTTTCACTCTTGCTGCCTTTTAAATATTGGTTATTCAACACAGAAAGTGTCCTCCCAGCATCTATTCAGAGAGCGCTAATCTGAACCACTTGCCGTCATCAGCTATATTCTCTCTTGTCACAAGTAGTTGGCGGTCTCTAATTGCTTTTCAGGACTAAATCCATACCAGTTCGAGAAAAACATTTGCAGCACCAGTAGTCGCAGTTCTCGGGCACAGTTCTGTTACTAAGAGGTCAATACGTTCAACGTGTTTATTTGTAGTGGGTGGATATTGTTTCGGGTGGGGGTGGGGGAGTTTATTCAGTCAAAGTAAACAGGAATACCAAGCTTCCTTTTTAAATGTTATTTACTCTCTCCCCTTCTCCTGTCTTGAGTTCCCTTACACCACCAGCTTAATAATAATAATAATAAGCATTGCAATTTCGATATAGTGCGTAGTTGAAACATCTCAAAGTGCTTCACAGGATATACTGTAAACAACAACGACGACAACTACTTGCATTTATATAGCGCCCTTCGCTCAGAGCAGTGTCTCAGAGCGCTTAACAGTGGCGGAGCCCGGGGAGGGAGGAGGTGACCATAAGCACGGTCGAAGAGGAAGTTCTTCAGATCTAAATAAGGGGAAAGAGGGGAAGGTAGATTGACTGTGTGTTTTGTGGGCAAAACAGCTGGATGGGTACGCTGTTGTGTTCTTGCAGCTGGGAAACTTATCAATGGGAGGAGAGTGGCCCTAGCTGGGTTTCCTCCGCTACCTCAAACGCAAGGATTATTATTACCTGCGAGAAAAGGTCTGACCTCTGCTCAGCTTCTCACCGCAGCAACCAGAACTGAGCGTAGAAAGAATTAAGAGCTCAGGCCCTTACATAAGCCTTATCATTGCACAGCGCAGAACCTCTGCAGCAGGTTTAAAGTCTCAGCCAGGGCTCAATCGGATCTTAAACATTGCTCCACATTCTCTCTGGAGCTTGTCTTCACCAAACAATCATTATGTTATCCACCGCGAACTTCTTTTCTTAACATTTCTAATTCTTGCCTTTTTTCTTCGTTGCTTTAACCTGCGTGAAGCTGAAAAAGTTAAGTATGGGCACGTTAAAGTCATTTCTCACAAAATAGGAGCGTTTTACGCCCCTCGGGAGTATGGCGTCGCAAATGCCTTACAGCACCTTCTTCGAGTGTGTTATTTAGGTGTGTGATAGTGAGTGCTATTAGGCTATTTAATTGCAGGAGTTGGGCCAAACAGCAGAGACCATTCCTGGTCAAGCCATCACCTGATGTAAATGCGAATAGCAGGAGTCAATGGACACTTCTGTTTTGTTCCTCTCTAACTTAAGGCCTTGAGACCAAATCTATTGCCACTAATGCACCTCTGGGTGAGTTCAACCGACTCTGCACAGAACAGGTTTCAAACCTGAGGCCTTCCACATCTATAATGACTGAATAACCTCAGTGAGCCAAATAAGGAGCGCTTAATCAGCACTCCACCTAACCGCGAAATGTTGGCCCAGTGGAGGCGCTGAATAAAAAGTGGGCAGTAAAAGTTTTATTCTCCTGCAAGGCCATCTTTTACTTTAACGAGCACCAGAAGGGAGCAGCTTTAACCGTGCAGGAAGGAAACTTCCAGAATTATCACAAGGGGGATACGGTACAATCTGTTCACGTGACATGGTTAAACAATGCTCATTTTCCAGTTAAAATATTTCGGGGGTTTTCAGTCTTTTTCTCATGTCTGTTACGTGTATCGGAGAGCTTCCTCGATTACTTCAACCCCCCACATGCGTTCCAATTCCCTCCACTCCGCCAACTCAGATCTGCTGCACGTCTCCTGCCCCCTCCGCTTCACTATTGGGGGCCGAGGTTTCGGCTCCTGTGTCCCTCACCTTAGAACTGCCTCTCAAAATCCTCCTCGCTCACCCGCACACCCATTTGTTTCAAAATCCTTCCCAAAACTTATCTCTCTCCTGCCCTCCAATGCCTCTCTCCTATATCCCCCTATTTCCCGTCTTGCCTGGGTTTTCACAGCATCTCTGTGAAGTGCTTCGAGACCCTATCCCGTGTCTCAAAAGTACAATGCAAATACAAATTACATTCGTGTAGCGAGCTGGCAAAGTGCAGGTGGGCGTTGTAGTCAAGAGAAACTTTGTCATTGGTTGACGAAGATACGTGGCAATGTCAACCCTTGTCGGGTTCTGTTAATGATTAATGTGGGGTGTGTGTGGGCGCGGGGGTGGGGGGGGGAGCAGAACAGTGGTGTAGGGAAGTTCACAGAGAAAGACCAGCAGTGCCAAGCTCTTTGAGACGTTTTCCTGGGGTGAACGGCACAATGTAAGTTGTACTGTATAGGAAGGTGATGGAGGACGAGGACCTTGAGATCATTCTGTTGACAGCCGCAACCGCTGATCAGTTCCACATTTCGTCAAGCTCTTGAGAGGTACTCAGCAGTTTCTTTTACCACGTTCGCTCACGGCCTGGCTGAGACCTAGAGCTCACCGGGTGAGATCTTTCCGGAGCAAGCTTGCATCCTGCTATAATATGCTGGAGCCAGACACGCGCTGCCTGGCGCTAGTCAGAGGTGAGAACAACACGCCGACATTTTTTCTTTGGTCAGCCGCATGTCCGTCTGGCACGTGCGGAACCCCATCGCCTGACTTAAGAGTATCCAAACCAACTGAGAGTTTCACATGTAAATGCCCCGACACATGGAAATGTCCCTGCGTCTAGAATGGATTGCACGCTCCCTCCCTGGATGGACACACCCTGTTTACTGAATTCTCGGGAGCGTTGGGTGCAAGTTGGAAACCGTCAAGACTTGGACTGTCTCGGAGTGTGTTGGGGACAGCTGGAGCTTAACTAATTGAAACACTGCTGCTTGTCAAGCTAGGACCACCCTACTTTTGAAGGCTTTGGTGTGTGGGTTTAACTGGAGCTGAGCGGGAAAAATCCCCGCTCCCAGTGACTGATCTGCCCTACCAACTTCTGCCGATGAACCAGGCTGACTGGGCTGTGATCAGCCACGCCTAAAACACTGAGATTTAACAAGTAGCTCGACATTAATGAGATTTCCCCATTAAAAAGACAGAAAACAAGTAGGTTGCTGCGTTTAGTGATCAGCATTATATAGGACCCGATGTCTCAGATATACCCTCAGGTTGCTAAATAAATAGTTCCATCAATATTGTTTGTTTTGCTGTAACTGTGCTTCTCCTGCCGCCACCACCTGCCCTGCAAACTAAACTACTGTCACTTGGTATCCAAGCGAGTTGACGTGTTTTGGTTAGTTCACCAGGTTGGAATTATTACGAATAAAAAGGAAAAAATAGTATTTACATGTTATTGTTCGGTGTGCTACCTGCAAGGATGAACCAAGTGAGCTTGTTTGGTACAGAAGCTTGCCCCACGTCTTTCCACTTCCTTTATGATGCTTCGTAATAGTCGTGTGCCAGAAGATTTGTATTTGCGTTCGAAAAGCCTTGGAATCATATGAATCAGACCTACTTTAAAAGCACCATTTCAGCTATTAACAAATGCTGCTAGTCTTCGAGATGTCAGTCCTACTATATATGTACATGAATCTGACTATGTAGAGTGTGTCAGTGCGACTGCATATTTCACCAGCGGGAAGGATGTTGTGTGGCTAAATTTGATGTATCTATGAAACTAGATATTGTATAACTGTATGACTACAAAACAGAATGCAACTGGCTGTTTAGCCCTTATGTCTTTGTGTGTGTGCGTTAGTGCATCTGTCTCTTTGTATGTGTGGTGCGTCAGTCGGACTCTAGATTACATTCGTAAAGTGTATTGTATCTGGTTGTTTCTGACTATTATATTATTGTTTTAAGTTGATCCTTCTACCTATAAAGTGAGCATGACTGACTGATGTTGCGTTGTCTTCTTATGCAGTGTACCTGATTACTTTAGCACAACTGTAAAGTGCTATTGATTGGATAGCGTTGCTACTTTTACACATTT